TGATACCACAGGGATGCAGTGGAGCTGACACCACAGGGATGCTGCTGCAGTGTTCCAGCACTGTCAGAGGGAACTGGGATGGCTTTTACAGAACGGCTGTAGCTGCAGACAGCAGTCGGGCTTGCAGGAAGGGCTGAAACTCTCCCAGATCTGTGGTCATCCCTTGTTCCAATGTGTCCCCTCGCACGCAGGGCCGAGTGTCTGCAGCGAGGAGTGTCCCCCTCCAAGGCACACGGGCTGGGCTCCAACCTGGTGACGGAGGTCCGAGTCTACAACTGGTTCGCCAACCGGCGCAAGGAGGAGGCTTTCCGCCAGAAAYTGGCCATGGACGCCTACAGCTCCGGCCAGCCCCCGCACAGCATGAACCTGCTGCTGTCTCACGGCTCCCCGCACCACAACCAGCCCAGCGCCTCCCCTCCCAGCAAAATGCCAGGTAAGGCGCTGCTCGGGGGGTGCTGGAAGAGCTTGGCTGGGGAGAGGGAAGCAAAGAGGGAGAGGATGCTGCTGCCCCTGGTCCGTGCTGCAGCCTCGGTGAGGGATGGTGATGGAGAGGAGCATGTGCGGTGTTGTGGCCAGGCTGGATTTCTGGCGTGCCCGGGATAAATCAGTGCTTGCTTGGTTGGTTGAAATCACTCACGGGAGCTCTGTGCGGGCTCGGCCGGGCAGGGAGGRGCTGTGCCCAGCAGGGCAGGAGGAGCTGCCCCGAGCCTGCCTCTCTGTGCCAGTGCTGGGCACTGGGGAGCCCTGGTTTTGGGGGTGCTGGAGCCCGTGGGAAGCTGTGGCAGTGTCCTCAGTGTCAGAGATTCCCCAGGCTGCTCCGTGACTCTGCACCATCCCTGTGCTCCTGGAGGATTGGAGCAGCAGATAACACCCGGGGAGGGGGCTGCACACCCGGGGGTCTCCTCAGGGCGACAGGAATTGTTGGGAGAACAATCCCCATTGTCCCCTGGGCAGCCCCGGGCACGGGGATCGGTGGTGGCGGTCGGCGCGGGGGCTGCGTCCCCACCGCCCCTCGTCCCCCTCGGACACCGGGGAGGCTGGAGCCAGCCACCGCCTGGAAATGACCCTGCCCGGCTCGGAGCTCACACCCAGCCCGTTCCAAAGGCAATTCAAAAAGGAGCCCGAGCGGCGGAGAGTCCCCACGGGAGGTGCGGGGCCGGGACGCGGCCGGAGGGTGGCTGGACACCGGTCCAGCGGTGACAGCGGGTGACAGTCCCCGAAAGTCCCAGGAGATGCTTCTGGGCGGCTCCCCATCCTGGGAAGAACCGGCAGCATCCCGGGGCACGGCCAACGGTGACCAAAATGTGACCCTGCCCCAGGAATGCCCCGCACAATGGCTGGGACGGGGAGGATTTGCCCTCCTGTCACCGGCTGATTGCTTACAAGGTGCCCTACAAGCACATTGTCAGCAGAATCAGCTGTTTTCGGTGTCGCGGCGGGCTTTACAATGCCCCACCAGCATGCAGCCCCGCATTGTCACGGCGTTGTCCCCCCGTGCATGCTTAATTGACAATTAAGCCGGGGCTTTGAACGAAGCCCGCTGCCTTTGATGTGCCCCCGGCCTGCCAGCGCTCATGGGGCACCCCCCGAGAGCCTTTGTTTTCTTCTATTAGGGGACAGCAATTACTGTAACCGCGGGCATTTATCTCGGGGCTGGAGGGCCGTTAAGCCCCAACCTTTATTTTGCCGTCGGAGCGGTGCCAGCAGGGGCCGGCCGTGGCTATAGGGCCGGTGACAGCCCATTCCGAGGGGCTTTTGAGCGGGGCAGGAGTGATGGCTGCGGGGAAGGGCCCCTCCGGAGGGGTCAGGGGGGCTCGGATGTGGGAATTTCTTGGCTATCCGTGGGCCTTTCCGAGGAGATGGGCATTGCTGTGGGGTTTTAGGGATGATTTGGGGGTGATAGGCAGGGATGGMGCTCAGCCTTGATTGCTTTAGGGTGCTTGGATCAAGCTGGATCCAACAGCTCCCAAAACACCGCCGGGTCTGTCGCTGCTGGAGCCTCCTCAAGGGATGTTTGGGGTGGTGGGGYACATTTGGTGCTGTCCCCGCTGCCTGGCTGACCCCATCCCGGCCGTCCATGCTGGGATTTGAACTGTCCTTGCCCCGCTGCGGCGGCGTCTGGGCCGCTCAATGCTTTAACAGCTTAATGACGGCGCTGAGCCCGGCCCTGCCCTGCTTTCCCCGTGTCCTGGCAGGAAACGATGGGGCTGGAGCTTTGGGGCAGCTGCAAAGCTCTGCCGTGCCCGGACAAAGGGGGAGCGCCTCTCCTTGGGACATCAATGGGGTCKTGCAAAAGGCGGAATGACAGCGGGGCAGGGATGGGAGCTGTAAAAGTCAAACATCCTGCGGCCTCTTCTCGGGGATCCATCTGTCAAGCCTCGAGCTGTAGTTTTTAACTATTTGGAGGTAAATACTTAAAGCCTTCCTATCTCAGAGGCTTCTCTCAGAGGCTGGACTTTTCCCTCACTCTGGGTTTTATCAGCAATCTTGGCTCCCTGTTTGATTTGAAGGTCACTCGGGGCTTTATCTCGGTGCCATGCCGTAGACTCTGGCTTATGCCATTTTTATCTTCAAGAGCCCCGAAGACAATCGGGGCATTGATGAGATTAGGGGCAGTGGCGCCCGCCCCCCGCTCCCACCCCGCATACAAAGGGCTGCCCACAACATGGGGTGTCCTGGGGGGTCCACGGGGTGTGGGTGTGATTCACCCATGGGTCAGAGTGTGATTTACCCACCCATCCCTCCATCCATCCCTCCATCCCTCCATCCATCCATCCATCCATCCATCCATCCATCCATCCATCCATCCATCCATCCATCCCTCCCTCCATCCATCCATCCCTGTTTTGCAAATATCAGAACAATCACATTTATATACACCTATGTATATATATATTAAAATACATTATTTATATATATACATTCATATATATATATATATATTAAAATACATTATTTATTTATATACATTTAGATATCTCTATAGATGGAGACAAACGTAAAAACAACCCAGCCCCACCCCTGAGGTTTTTCCTAAAACCCAATTTAAGTGCTTTAATTTTCCTTCAGAGAAAAGCCCGCCGGTGATCCCTCACTCCGGGGGTGCCCCCAGTCTGTACCTGGATCCTTTCTGGAGTTTTTGGGGTGCTGGTTCTTGCTGGGACCCGGTGCCAGAGGTTGTAATATTTTACTGTCGGGGGCATTGTGGGGCTCGGTGGGTACAGTGCACTGTTAGGAGCTTTTCCCTGTTTTATGGGGGTAATTAGAACTTTATGACAGCAGCGAAATGGGAGGGTCCAGTCCCCATAAACGGGTTTATAATGGATATAAACTATGCACCTCTGTAACTGAGCAAGATTAACACTTTAGGGACAATTTGAGTGGCAGCCCAAAAATCAGAGCTGCCCTCRGTGCTGTCTGGACTGGAATTTTGGGAAGGTGAAAATGTCCCATCAGTGACCTGGCTGTCCATGGTGTCAGTGGGTGGAGCATCGCTGAGTCCAGCGTGACCCCAAAAATCACACTTCACATTTCTCACCCCGCTTTCTCACCTGGCAGCTGCATCCTGGGGGGTCAGGCAGAGAGCAGAGCTGAATCCCTGCTGCCACCAGCTCACCGGTGACTTTTTTGGGGTCTGTTTTGGGGTTTGGCATTGCTGGTGATGTGCAGGACATTGGTGAAGGTCTGGGGGAAGTAGCACACATGGGAGGTCCCATGGGCTGTGGCAGCAGGGCTCCCATGAGAAGGACAGTTAAAAGTACAGAAAAGTGGGGGTTTTTTGAAATACAATTTATTTATATGAAAAAAAAATACAATTTATTTATATCCACATGACTTATAGCAGAGCAGAACCAAACTGCTTCACTGCTGCCAAAGGCACAGGACTGGCGTGTTCTGAGAAATGGCACAAGGCTGTGATGGGAATGATAAAGATCCCAATTGGTGCCTTAAATTCCCACCTCACCACCCCAAAAGCTGGGTGAGGAGGGTGGTTCTGGCACCCCAGAGAAGCAGAGAGGTGCAGGGGGTGTCTGTGGATGCACAGGACCCCCCTGCCCTGGGGGTTGTCCCTTTGCTGTCCCCATCCCTCTGCTGGAATGGGGTTATGGCTGTGGGAGCCGGACCCTGTGGCTCGTTTGGGGCAGGGGAGAGCAGTAAAACATTCCATGGGCTGTGCAGCTCAGGGGCCACACAATGGCCCATCCCATAAACTGACTTTTATTTTACGGCTGTAGCTCCAGTTAAAAAAAAAAAAAAAGGCTTGAGGAGGGAAGGCTCCGCCGCCAGAGCCATTCCCGGTGATCCCCATCCAGGCTCCTCTCCCGAGCATCCTCGGGAAGAGGCTGAGGGGGAATAAATCCCTTTGCACCAGGGCTGCTTCCAGCTGTGGAGGCACAGAGAGCAGCAGGAGAGCCGGCTCTGAGCTGTCTGAGCCCAGCTCATAAACCCTGGATGCTCCAGGAGGAATTCTACAGTCCTGGTAGGGGCAGCTGGAGCTGTCCCCTGCACTGTGGGGACATCCCAGGGGTTGTGCCACCAGGGGAGGGTTGGATTTYGGGGTTCAGAGAATGAGGGAGGCCRAGGAGCTCGGAGGAAAGGCACCACCATCATCAGGGAGCTCYGTGTGCTGCAGCAGTGACAGCAGCAATGCCTTGTAGCGCCTTCCCAAAATTAATGATGGGACCTGCCCAAATCCAACCCTGGGGACACGTAAATAATAACAGCTCATTCTAGGAATGGGGAAAACCCAGTGAGGAAGGTTTTTCTGCCCTGGCAGAAGCTTCTCCCTGCTCAGCATCAGTTTCTGGGCAGGCTCCTTGGTGGGGCTGGGGAGTGGCACCGCTGTCACCAGCCCCAGAGCCCAGCCTTGCTCTCCTTGGGGGAGTTAATCTTCATCAAGGCTCTTCTTCAAGACTCGGAGTCTTCAGTGGTTTTATCTAGAGACCCAAAATCTCAGTCCCCAGCCTATCTCGGAATCTCGGCGCTGGTTATTGTTCCTCAAACAATCAAAGTCTTGTCCTTGGGGTTGCAAGGAAGAGCTTGAAAATCAGCATTTAACCTCTTGTGTGTTTTGAAGCCAACTTCACCACTTTGGGTAGCTTTGCTCACGGGTTATCACCCCCTCAGCTGGATAGGGCATTGTGTTTAAAATGGACTTTTTTTTGGTTCTTATTGCCCCCAAAAGAGCAGCAGAAACTCTGATTTCTTTCCGAGAGGAGCCGTCTGCGCTCCCGTCTATCTCTCAGATCACGCCCAGAAGAAGAAGAAAGGGTTTTATTTTATCTCCCTGCCATTGTTTAAGCAGTGCTGGGATCCCAGCCCAGGGTGAAGCACCCTCTGCGGGGCCGGGGCCGCGGGAAGAATGCGAGTGACAGTGCCCCGGTTGAGTAATGTTTACCCTGCTCACGGCGGGGACGTCCACTCGGGCCGGCAAATATCCACCTGCCAGAGGACATTCTTTTATTATCAGGGATAAAGGGGGTTTGCTGGGAAATGATCAGGAGCCAGACCTGCTGAGGAGATTCCTATCTGTGCGACGTGTTTAACCAGCTGATGGGGAAAATTCGGAGTCGATGGCGGGGTGGCCGTGTTGTGGTTTTGGTGCAGGGTGTGGGGTGATTTTGGAGCTGGTGGCAAGCTCCAGTTATGATTTCTTTGCTTTTCCTTGATTTATAGATTAATTTTAGCATAGTCCTCAGAGCATTCTTCACTGATGCCATGGGCTGACCTCCTGTGTGGTCTCTTTTAGGAGCTGTCCCTGTGCCCTGTGCTGGTGGTCAGGGTGGCTGCAGGGTGGGCTTTTTGTGGATTTTTTGCCAGAATTGCCTGGTTTGTCTGTCCATCACCCACTGCTTCGATCCCAGGGCAGTTCAGCGAACCTGGCAGGGAGCACAGGGCTGGACTCCTCCWAATAAATGTCTTCTCACTGTAGTTGTCAAGGCAGCCCCGTAAAGGACACTGTTGTTTCCCATGGGTTTTCCTCGGTTAATTATTTGTGATCTGTAGAATGCCTTTCCATGACACATGGCTGATCATATGGTTATCAGCGCGGGCTGCTTCAGCCAAATTAAATATATTTATATAGAAGAGCTGTGCCAGAGCCAGATTTCTTTCCAGGGCAGCAGAGGGTTGGGGTCTGCTTTGGGTGGTGGGTGTGTGTCCTACAGTTGTGGGGAGGGTTGGGATGGGATGCTGGAGGGCTCGAGCAAACAGTGCCATGGGTGTGGGAGCTGGGCACAGCTTGGCACATTTTCATTCTGGTGCCACAGGGAGGGTGGGCACAGAGCCTGGCAGTGCCCACGGTGACACCAATGTTTTGCAGGGGTGCGCTACAGCCAGGCGGCGAGCGGCGAGGTGGCATCCTCGGGGGCCATGAGCCACCACGGCAGCGGTGCCATGGTCACCACCAGCCAGGCCGTCCTGCAGCAGGTCTCCCCGGCCGGCCTGGACCCGGGCCACGGTTTGCTCTCTCCCGACGGTAAAATGGTGAGTACACCTGGCCCATTGTGGCGGCGGCGCTGATAAGATAAGAGGGCGCAGCGGGCAGAGCAAACACGCTTTCCCCGGGTTTCACACGCGGCCAGGTTGAACAATGGCGCATTGTGGGGGACCGGGGTGACGCTGTCCCCACCGCCCGCCCCCGAGGCGGCGCTCCCGGTGTGTGTGACAYCCAGAGCTTCCCGGGATGAATCTGGCAGAGCCCGGGGGTTCATTGATCGCACGCTGGACGCGCTGGGTGGGTCACTGTTTGCTTTTTCTTGCCAGTGACACGGTATCGATAAAATACTCATTCATTACTTTTTCACTGAGCCTTCCCCAGGTCTGGGCTTTCCTTGTGAGCAGGGACCTTCTTGTCCCGGGTGTCACCCAGGGGACTGAAGCTGCTTGTGCTGCCTCTTCCCATCCCCTTTGCCACGTCCTTGGGGCTTTTCTGCAGGGGTTTTATGGGCAGAGAAGCATGGCAGGAGTGGAGATGGACATCAGCATCCCTGTGGGGCCGGACATCCCCCTGTGCTGGTGCTGCAGGGCTGTGGAAGGGTCTGAGCACTCGGGGTGCCCCTTCCTGGTGCAAAGCTCTTGGATGGGTGGGTACAGGAGCAGGGAAAGGAGAGGGTACAGGAGTTTGGGTCAGGACAGGATGGGATGTGATAGCAGAGCACAGCCCGTCCCTGCAGCAGGCTGGCAGAGGTTTGTGTGCAACTGCTGCTTTTCCGGGAACAGTTTTTTTTTTTTCCCTGCTGAAATCGAAAGTCAAACATGGCACTGGGTGACGGGGCCAAGCCGGTTCCTGCCCGGTTTTCACTTCCATTTTCAGAGGGCTGTCCCTCCTGGGCCATGCTGTCAGTCTCCTGGCGAGGCTGGGTGACTGTGGAGGGGCTCACTGTCCCCTCCCTCAGCCGTGGCACCATTTCATCGTGCCTTTCCTTCTGACTGGAGGGGGTCTCCAGGCACTCACCCTGTAAAACCAAGCGCTCCCTGCCAAGCTGGGGGCACAGTGCAGCGCGTCACCCCAGCCCCCCCAGCGCAGTCCCTCTGTCCCAGCACGCCCAGATCGCCTCAGGGGTGTGTTGAGCCTCGTAACCCTCAGCCTGGAAGCCATAAAATGAGTCAGGGATAAAGACGGCGGCGGCGGCACAGTGTGCCCGGGGTGGGGGTCCCCATGGGTGACACGGTGCCAGCACCCCCTGTCACCTCCTGGGACCAGTGGGGAGACCCCTGGAAGGGACTGGGCAGCACTGGAGAAGGAAAGGGAGCAGATCAAACTGGGAAAAGCTCAGGTGCAGCAGAGGAGCTCTCCCCGCGGCTCAGCCTCTGCCCAGCGCCGTGGGGACCACACGGGACCGTGGCTCTGCCAGCTTATCTCCCATCTCCAGGCAGGGCTAGCCGCTGCTTGCTCGAGGTTTAATAGAAATATGCTGTAGGCTGTGGTTTCTAGTAAGTAAACATGTGCCTTCAATGCCCCACATGAAACGAGGAGCTGCCAAGGAAGTTGCTGCATCTTTCAGGAAAGAGCATTTCTGAGGTTGCAGAGATCTTTGGTGGCTCGCTCTTTCAGAGTTTGCCTGAACTTTGGCAGTGCCAGAGGGTCCAGCCCGAGGGTCTGGTGCCCGCAGGGTTTTTTCCAGTCATGCACAATGCAGGTGCAGCGCTCTGGGGCTAAACAGCCCGTGAGAGGAGCCGGGGCTGCGGGCGAGCGGCGTGTGCTTGCCGGGAGCTGTTTGGCTTGTGCAGCCGAGTGTGCCGTAACCCGGCCTTGAAGGGACTTTGAAAGTGGAAAATACCGGATCAGGAAATGTGAGTCACTCCCGGGCTTTGGAATTTATTGATGGATTTGTTTCAGTCGCTATCTCCAGCTCACATGTGCAAAATAAACAAGGTGCTCGGAACCGGTGTCCAGAAATGTCACCCGAAGGGCCGCGGGGATGGCTCCGAGTCGGGATCGAGGTCGCTCAGTGCAAGAGGGCTGATGAGAGGGATTAGGGGAAGGTGCAGCAATTAAAGAAATAAAGCACTTGTGTGTCCTGGGGACCAGCTCCAGTCCTCACAGCACGTGCCAGCTGCCTTTGTCTGATCCCTAAACTTTGGCCCGAAACCCCGGGCACTGGCTCTGGCTGTGCACACCCTCCCCGTCTCACCAGTATCCTGCCAGACTGGTGACTAAGATCATCACCACGGGGCCCTTTTAATCTGCATTCCGTCATTTTTCATCACCTTCCTGAATTTAGAGGTCCCACTTTCCCCTAAAAGCACGATGGYTGGAAGTTAATGAGTGTTGAGAGTCGTCAGCTGTCCCCGAGGGCTGGAGCTTGAACTCGGGGGACAAACTGGCAAAGGCTCGGGCTGTGCCGTGTCCCGATGCCATGCTCCAGTGGAGCTGGAAGCCAGTGCCAGCCAGGTCCTCCTTCCCAGGGCTGCTTTGCTGTGTGTTAACGCCAAGTGCAGGTGCTTTAATTGGGATCTGCACCCCGGGGCTGTGGGTGCTGAAGCCCCAGTGATTTCTGGGGAGGGGGCTCTGCTGATCCCCAAAGCGGGAGCTCTGACGGTGCCATCCTGCCTTGCTCCTGCAGATCTCCGTGTCGGGAGGCGGGCTGCCCCCGGTGAGCACCCTGACCAACATCCACAGCCTGTCCCACCACAACCCGCAGCAGTCCCAGAACCTCATCATGACGCCACTCTCGGGAGTCATGGCCATCGCCCAGAGTAAGTGCGCCCCGAGGTCACCTCTGAGTGTGTCAGGGAGGGGACACTGCCCGCTGTGCCATGCTGACATCCCGCTCTGCTCTCTCGCTGCCCCCAGGTCTGAACACGTCGCAGGCTCAGAGTGTCCCGGTGATCAACAGCGTGGCCGGCAGCCTGGCAGCCCTGCAGCCCGTGCAGTTCTCGCAGCAGCTGCACAGCCCGCACCAGCAGCCGCTGATGCAGCAGTCCCCGGGGCACATGGCGCAGCAGCCCTTCATGGCCACCGTGACCCAGCTGCAGAACTCGCACAGTAAGGGTCGGGGGGAGCTGCGGAGGGCTCTGGGAATGAATTCCGATGGGAAAACCAGCTTGTGCTCTCCTCCTGCTCTGCCCTGCCCGAGCTGGCTGCTCCTCTCTGTGGTGGTTCCAGCCCATGGGATGCTCAGTGGTGCGGGGTGGTCACATCCCGCCCTGTCCCTTCCTTCCCCCACTCCACCCGTCTGGTTCAGCCACGTCCTYTCGATCCCCATGACTTTCTGAGGGTGAGCTGCTGCCTGAGAACGCAGCAAGCAGCGGGTTCTTCCCGTGGCTCCTTTTAACTCCTCCCTGTCTCCGTGCTGCCCGTTCCCACAGCACCCCCGGACCGTAGCGGGGTTCTGAGCCCCCAGGGTAGGGCTGGGGGTGGCTGTTCCCTGACCTGTCCCTTCCTCTCGGCAGTGTACGCTCACAAACAGGAGCCCCCCCAGTATTCGCACACGTCGCGCTTCCCCTCGGCCATGGTGGTGACGGACACCAGCAGCATCAGCACGCTCACCAACATGTCTTCCAGTAAGCAGGTAATGA